TAAGACAAGACTGAAAGAAAAGTTCGATAGATTAGTAGACCAACAGCGGTATCGTAGATCACAAGATAGGGCTACTGGTAACTTTGGTGACGTGGTCGTGCCTCAGGTTGACAACGACAGTGACCTCCTTGCCGGTTGCCCTCCAGGAGGCCCGTCGCGCGGCAAGAAGGCAAGTCAGCGGACGAGTTGCGCGCGTACTGTAGGGATTTCGCGTCAAGTTAAATAGAATGTCCCATTGCACGTCCTACATCATCGCACATCACGCGCTGCGACTCGTCCGCGACTCTGCCTTCTTGCCGCGCGACGGGCCTCCTGGGGGTACCCCTCCTTGCCTCTAGGGTCACGGTTACTGGCGACATTCCCCTCTCTAGTGATGCGTTGTCGCTGCTAGAACTGGGCCCAAGCTTCGCTCCAGCTCAAAACATAAACAACCACGTAGTGGAAAATCTTAAAACACGTTATCAAGTCAAGTTTTTTTCTTCTGTAAGCTAGGGTCTCAAGATTGAGCTTAGCATTGCGTACCCTGCTACAGGGTATTTGATCATAACGGAACCCAACAGCTCCAACAAAAACCTTCCTTGTAAAACTATTTTGAACTCTTTCCATAGCCTGAATAACTTTTACTTTATGTGGGTTAAATACGACTGTGCCATATTCTAACAACGGCCTTATGTACATTTTGAAAGCCCTGAGAAGCACCAGGGAATCCCTAGTTGAGAGAGCTCTGAACAAGTTAAACATCAGTGCCATGGCTTTAGCAGCGACCTTTAAGCAGTGATCATCAAAGCTAAGGTCACTTCGAATATGAAAGCCAAGGTCCCTAATTTCCTTAACTTTTTCTAATTGGACCCCACCTATCGAATAGGAGGAGGTAAGGGCGACTCCCCTAGATGCAGAACTTGGATTTATTAATAGATATAGGCAATTTCCACCGTGCGGCCCAGTTGCTTACATCATTAATGGCATCTTGTAATAATTCCATGTCTAGGTCAGATGACACTGGGTGATACAATTTAAAATCATCCGCAAAAGCAACACATTTCACTCCTCTGACAGCGACTAAAGAGGGTTGTTCAAAAGTATGTTGGAAAGGATGGGTGACAACACCCAGCCTTGCGGCACCCCACTATAAACCGGTCTGGGCTCAGAGAGCACATCGTTAACACGAACAGAGAAGGTTCTATGTGCCAAGGCTTCAATCCAATCTATCTCGGATGAATGCCAACCAGGATAAGCTTGGAGATGAGCTCCGATGAAAACCCTGTCGAACGCCTTTTCGAAATCCAAGTAAACCACGTCCGACCCTATGCCGTTATCAATGTAAGATGTCCAGTCATTGAGCGATTGCAACATAGCGGTTACGGTGGATTTGCCCTTTTGAAAACCGTGTTGTTCATCCGAGATTAATATTGAACTGATTTAGGTGCGTCACAATCCTTTTTTCAGGACTTTTTCAAATAATCTAGCGAAGATCGATGTTATGCTTACAGGCCTGTAATTGTTTGGGCTTGAGTGAGGTAACTTTTTCGGAATGGGAGTTACAAGCGAGATGCGCCACCTATCTGGCACCTCAGCGTTCATAAAACTTAAATTGAAAATGAACGCAAGTTGGACCAGAGATTATGTGTGCTACCTTTTGAAAAAAAGAAGCTATAAAGAAAAAGAAGCTGAGAGGAATATGGTCAGGTGTATCCGATGAGATTTTGGCCATCTGACTTGTAACTCGCAAATTTCTTCACTATAGAACCAGACCAAAACCCTCATGACGGGCATAGGGACTAAGTCTGAATCTCTGGAATCCTCATCTCTTTAGTATGCTTTTTCAAAAACCTTCGCAAGAAGCTCTGCTTTATTTTTTCATTGCTTACAACACTACCATCATCGTCAACAGAAACACCTAGACTCTTCTTTTTTAAGCTTGGAATTGAGAAACCTATAGAAAGCGTTTTTGTTCCTGGAGTAGATTACTTTTTCTCAATGTGGCCATAGAACTTAGTCAATTTCTTATCGAAAGCAGTTCTTAGAAAACTATATTTTTCCCAATCGCCTGGATTGTCTCCACTCAACGCTTTACTCCATGCAATACATTTTTTTACGGTGCAGCCCACAGTAGTTCGATCTCGGTAGTCTTCTGCCTTCGGACAGGTACAAATAACTCAATAGAATGATAGAGGATGCCAAAAACAGCTCATATTTACCATTAACGGTCTCAGCACAATTCAGGGATCGTACCAGTCAACATTGCTGAGATAATCATTAATCGCATCAAAATTTGCTTTTTTGAAGTCTCTTAACAGCACTTTTCTCATCTCCTTCTTGAACCTTCAATTCAAGTGTGAAGACGACGGAAGCATGGTCGCTAGTTCGCTGGTTCTACCGTTTTCTG